TTATGTAGCATAAGCATGTAGATAAGCCAATGCGCTGAATAGTAAGTTGGTATGGGACAGGTACTTCGAAGTTGGCACCCATAAATGAAAACTGAAAGAAGATACGATATAGAGATACTGATTACCAGAGTGTGGGTAGTAGGATTTGCATGGAGTATCAGTTGCAGAGTCTGATATTGTTCTTTAGATTTTACAAGTACAGGAAATATTCAGCGAGATAAAAATAAAATACTATGTTGGGTCAATATTACACGTTAATAGGCGTTGCATACGCAGAAATTCCAAACAATATACACTAATGTATCTGAATGATAAAATTATATCGGTGCATTGAATAATGCTGTCTAGTGCTACTGCTTTTCATCTCGTGGATCTTGACAAATTCCAAAGAAGGATCTCCAATTTAATCGATCATGTCTAAGCATCTCAACTTCATTCACTTTCTCACCGACATGTTGTGGCTTCCCTGTGTCTTTTTTCTAAATATTTTCCTGGCAACTGCTCAGACGAAATTGTTTTTACCCTGGTGTCCCGACTCCGTGAATTCCTGCCCGCTACTAGATTGTCATCTAGGCCCACCCTTTTACTGCTGAAATAGCTAAATGCAACCATCACTTCTACTCCGACAGTTGATTTTCTCGCACCTCCCGCCTGGGAAAGTCTCTTGCGTTTACGTGCTTCTATGATAACTACAATCTTCAAGAATTTAAATGCAACGTCACTCGCTATCTTTTGTCTTCTTGAATCCAGTTTGTCCTTTCCTCAATCCTTCCTATAATCTGTCTTTTCTTTCACTTTCATGTAATGGCATTTCCGCATTGACACCCAGGGGTGATATATATATATATATATATATATATATATATATATATATATATATATATATATATATACATATATGGATTGAGAAATCGGAGAGATCCTTCAATTCCAGTCAGGTTTCATTACCTTCACTTACGGCAAAGGCGTGAATCCTCTTCTTCTCCCTCCAGGTAAATAGCAGGAGAGATTGGGTTCTATAGCCTTGGATGGCAACTGGTCTAGGAGAAGGACAACTCTGGATTCAGAACCTGCGGAGGGTCGTTTGGGGACACTGTGGCACGTAGTGAACCAGGTCTCTGTATTCGGCCTTTCAAAAAGTGTGGCTGGTCCTGCACGAAACGTTCACCATTATAATCAAATCTCATGTGTTGGTGTCGGGCTGTTAGTTTCCTAGGAATTGATCTTCTTGACCCTCATACGTCGAATTCGACGGAAGAGTGGAGTATGTATATATATATATATATATATATATATTACACACACACATATATATATATGTATATATATACACATATATATATATATATATATATATAGAGAGAGAGAGAGAGAGATAGATAGATAGATAGATAGATAGATAGATAGATAGATAGATAGATAGATAGATATCACTGTGAAAGCAAAGTTAACTGCTCTGGCCGCTATCTTCTATAGCTTCTCATAGGGTGCAATTTGAAAGTAGAAACAGATAAAATTAACAAGAAAGAGAGAATAATTCCAAAAAGAAAACTGTCAAGATTCGGGGCAAGATTCCTCATTTCCAAATCAACAATTAAAATCTACAGCACAGTTTTTTCTATTAATATCCAATTCTTCTGGCCTCAGTCGCGAATTCCTTCTCTGTCTCAGTTCAATATTGTTTCAGTCCTGTTTTTCTTTTGAATTAGCAAGATCTTGCCGTAAGTTTTATTCTAATCCTATTTCCTCGCACTTCTCGCCTGTGGAAGTCTCATACGCTTTATTTCTTCATTGCCACATAAACCTTAAAATACTTAACTATCTGAAGACTGTATTTGGCAAAGTCAATCGGCATCTTCTGTCTTACTAAACCTCGTTCATTTATTCTCTTTTCTTCACGTTAAAGCCTACTGATCTTTTTTCACTTAAAGTATTTTCAATTTCTTTTATATCTGTACGTCATAGTAGCATTATCGTCTTGTTTATGGTGAAATTCTTTTAAAAAAATGCTCACGGCTATATGTTTTTTCAGCACTTCCCCAAACTGTTTGTGTCACTCCAAAGACTGGTTTTCTTCAAAGAGTGTCCACCACAAACCATTGTGATAGAATTTCTTTTTCTTCAGAGGGTTTATCAATTCTTTATAAATCTTCACACAAAGCATGATATTAATCCAATGATTCCTTTCACTCAGTTTCTACTCTATATATAGATTACAGTATCTGATTTTGTTTCTCTGTATTCTTTTTTATTACATGCAATTCTTTTAACTAGGCCCTTTCTTTCCTTTCCTATTCCCATATCTGTTTTGACAACATGGTGTTATCTTTATGACTTTCGTATTTTAATGACAGCACAGCAGAGAATATAGCGGCCATTTTGAAAAACTGCTATTCAGGAAAAAGAAAAGTTACATAAATAAACAAAGTAAAATCTATTTTAAATTGTTAAAATTTAACACTTGTATATAGGTAAGAAAAGAAATATATAATATGAACAATCTGAAAGTAAGAATGAAGTAAAAAATATGCTTATTTACATAGGAAAGCATTGGTGTATCAACTATATATATTTTTATATATTTTTGCCAAAATCGGTAAAAAATATGATCTCGTCATGAAAAGTTTTTTTCTAGAATAATATTTTTTAAAACCTAGACAGAAGTTTGTCCAACAAAGAAAACATCTCTCAAATGATTTTCAAACATTGACGAATATATAGTAAAACTATAAAAATGTTCTTGAAATTCCTAACTACTCTACTGAATTCATTGGAATATGAAATGTTATGGATGTTAAAAAAATCGTGCAAATTTCAAAACGTAATACTGGCATTAGTATAACAGGAATTAATATGGTTTCTACATAGAATAAATCTATTAGGCCATAAATGACTGCAAAATTAAACTGGACCCTCTATATGACATACTTTGTAAATGAGAAGACTTTTTTTGCATTTTATATATCTTTTAACTACACTCTCCAGGTTTTTGTTTTCACCTCTGCTGTAGCCAAGAATTGAACGTAAAACACTTTTGGTCAAATCACAGGATTCGACCAACGCTTGAGGGTACAAGGCCCAGTGGATAAAACGGGCAAATAGTGTACCCCACCATACTGGTATTAAAACACTACAAAAATCTAAAAATACAATTTTATATTAAAAATACCAGCAATACATTTTTGGAAAAAATAAATTATTACAAGCAATACTCTCGACAAAAAAAAAAAAAAAAAAAAATAACTCTTTACAAGAATACATCAATGAAACCTGATCTAAAAACTGTTTTATTTTTACAAAGTATACATATTCCATTCATACGAACCTATCCTCACAATTTTGTCGCCTTTTACTAACCCATTGAAACTGATATGCCGTCAAACCAAATATATCAAAACAAATCAGATATTTTACAGAGATAATATTTGGTAAGTAGATAAAAGATTTGCTTGTATAAAATAACAGATAGATAAATAGGTTATAAGAAAATGTCTTATAAAAATTATTTACATATCCGGGCTCTTTAAACTTACATCACTCAATTCCATAAGTCACCTTTCTATTAATCATTCAATCCATCACAGTCGACATTTTAAAATACGTTTGTCACTGTCTAAACTATCTATCTAAACTCTGCATCTATTAATTACGAATTGGAAGAATCAATATCCCTGTCTGCTTATTTGCTTATCGATACCAACAGAACATCCGGTGTGTACCTAGCAAATTCTCCATTCAAATCTGTTCCTATATATTTTCAGCTTATCGATATAATTCCTTTTATAATTCTTATATTCATGGGAATACAAACATTCCTCGCTTAACGACTAACACATGAAAGAAAAACTAAAATAATAAATTAAATCCAACCAGATGTTATTGTATGTTGTAAGAAAACTTTTGCCGTCAGTGGTCATTGTTTCCTCTTTCTTCAAAATGATTGAAAAAACGATAAAATGAATACAGTGAAAATTTACAGTGTGTGCGTGTATGTATGTGTGTGCGTACGCCTCGCTTAACGGGCTTCTATGTGTTACTATATTCTACAAAATATCTATACATATAAAACAGAGGACGTCTATGTGTCTGCCTGTAAGTGTGATACCTTTTCACTCGAGATCAATCCAAGCGATTTTGACCAAAACATAGGTTCTTAGTGTAAAAAAATTGTTAAGTTAGAAAAATCAATGATGGATAAAGCCGATCAAAAATCGATAAATTCAACCTTTTTCTCCGATTTCATTCAAACTCGCTATGTAGGTTACTTACATCATGATGACTTCAACGATACCTCATTTTTTTATTTCTACGCCACTACGTTTAACGAAACACCGCGAAAAACCAAAAATAGACTTCAACACAAATCGATTTCAACACAAATTTTAAACTAGAATCTCCCTTAATTTTCAAGGAATATAACACAAATTTCACTCAATTATAGCCAACCATAAGTTGTTTGTTTAACAGTCATTTAATTGATAATTGAGTCCACTCATTACCGCGTAAATAGCGAAAGATGGCGATTTTTGCTGGTTTCTTTATTACTTTACGTTTATCTTTCAACCAATTTTCATCAAACTTAACAGTTGCTTTATTCACTTTTACATCCCTTGTAGTACACTGAAAAAAATGAATTTCTAAAACTCCAAAATATATGTGCTCTGAAAGTGGGTCTGCATGTTGTCTGTTTTACTCGTTCATATCCTCGACTAAATTCGATCGAATAAATACAGACAACTTCTGTTATATCAGTAACTGCATTAATTCAAAATGTTTTTTAATGAAAGTACTTTAAAGTAATTGAAGATAGACTCTGTTATATCTAAACATGATGATGTTTTTGCTCCATTCTAATTGTACGCTTTTTCTGATTGATCAGCTGTGTATGGCTACTACTTATATATAAAGTAAAATAAACAAATACATCTAGTTGGGATTGTATTTACACTTGTAGTTTCGCGCTGCTTACACGGGTTTCCCTGAGTCTCTGTTGCCACCCAATTCTACTGGTTATCATATTCGGCAGGCCAGAGTGATTGCCGTTTATGTCGTCAAAAATCTGTTTGATATAAGTTTTGTCATGTCATGCTTTCCGTAACAGATTCGTCTTCAGTTCTGCTGCAATGCCTTGCTCTACGATTTTTGATGGTGTCCGATACTGAACGAAAAGTTCCCACGCAATCGCTCATTGGTCAGACGAACTCTTCAAGTGAAAATCAAAGCCATTCATTGGATGTGAGATTAGGCTCCACCCAAAAGTCTTTCCAGTTTAAAGGAAAAATGTCCCTGCTGAGCAGCCATGCAACAGAACAGAATGAAATAATTTAGACAAAAGGAACGAATAACGCGAAAAAATAACAAAGAATTATTTACTTGTATTTTATATGATTAGGCAAACCAAAGTAATGACAGTATATAGAACTGATTTTCGAATATGTCTATCATGTTTACTGTTCAGTAAAATATTATACTGTATAAACATTTGGAAATAAATTAGAAATGTTCCAAATTGTTCACAAGTGATATCTGAATCTATCTATCTATCTATCTATCTCTCTCTCTCTCTCTCTATATATATATATATATATATATGTATGTACGTATGTATGTATGTATGTATGTCTGTATGTATGTATGTATATATAACTACTGGCCCAGCTGACAAAATAACTCATCGGCATTAATCTAAGTAGAAGAGAAGGTAAAGAAGGAAAATATATATATATATATATATATATATATATATATATATATATATATATATATAAAAAGGAAGATAACATTATATTATATAGATAGATTTACTATCAATGGAGAACAATGTTTGATGACTGGGAGTTCTTGTGGCATATACGCCTTACAAAAAGAAACTCCCTTTCAGAAGCTGGAAGCAGATGAATCATAGGTGGCAACGAGTGCTAGGAGCATCTCTCTGACTCTCCCATAATCTCAATAACCTAAGCAACGATGGACTGCATTTTATGCGTGGGCACTATTAGCCAAATTACAGACTGCAATAGAAGTGGGAAATATTTCTAAATCTTTCATTATAAAGACAATTCCATAAAATCAACTCGAGAAGGATGAAAAGTTCTCAGCTTTCTGAAATCAGAATTTCAATCAGAAAATTTGTGGAATCGGACACACGTTCGTTCATCTCTAATTCCTTCCTTTCTTTTCTTTCTTACTCTCTTGCTCTCCATGCACGCATTCACGCAAACACAGATGCACACACCCGCACACACACACACACACACGTACGTACACAGGCACAGACACACATATTCGAGTATAAATCTTTCGATATATAAGTTTGGTTAATTTAGGGGCCACCTCGAGGTGGTGTAATGGTTAGCAAGCTTATGTCTTTAGAACAATTACGACTGAGTAGTGAGTTCCTTCCTCACTGGGTGTCCCCTAATATCGATCTTGTGCCACATCTAAGCTACGCTTGCAAAATCTTTATATATATATATATATATATACACACACACACATATATATATATATATATTAATTCCAATACACGAATGTCATGAATAATGGTATAGATGTTGACGCATAATTTATGATCATGTAAGATGATCAATTGAGACATTATCTGTTAAACCAATATCAATATTTTATTTTACATAAACATACAACGTGGAATACACCGACACACACTCACTCACTCAAACACACACACACAGATAGATAGATAGATAGATAGATAGATAGATAGATAGATAGATAGATAGATAGATTACATCGTTGTGTTTTTGTGTGATGGATGTTTTGCTAAAAAAGGCACTCGAACAAAAACAAATATGTCTGGTGATACCGGAAGATTTTGGATTAGAGCCAGATGATGTCAGTAAGCCACGCGTTATTCATAAGAATGAGTACACACAGACACACACATACACACACACATATGTGTTTATGTCTATATGTATATTTATATATATATATATATATATATATATATATATATATATGTGTGTGTGTGTGTGTGTGTGTGTGTGTGTGTGATGTTCAAACACCTAGAAGTGATTTCTAATCCTTCACAAACTTCCTGACATAAAATATCTTCTAAATAATAAGCTCAGCACTTAGATTGATCTACAGATCACCCTTATCTGGTTCAATAAAATCAATAGCTTCGCTTCCTGCTATAAATGCTAAAATTGGGGTGACAGAACCAATCATTGAACTCCACCCAAGTCAATAAAAGTTTTAAAAAGTAACGCTCAAAAATATAACAAATGAAAAAAAAAAGTTTTGTCAAAACGAAATCATCATTTGCCCTATCATATACAAAATATAAAAGGTAAAATTTTTACAGGACCGGAAAATTCGAATTTGATGCAATGGAAAAAGTGCTGCGACGCTATTAAATATCAATTCTTTTATCTAGCAGCCAGTGCTGGACAATTCTCTCACAAATTAATATTGGCGCACGGAAAGCATTTGCTGTGAATATCATGGATGGAATATAAAGAAATCTATAAGGAAAATTGTTTTTAGAATCATAAAGATACAGCTGGCATTTCTGCGACGCATAATTATATGAGAAGACTTAGAGAATTCAATACTCAAAGGACATACAAACGAAAAGAAGGCAGAGGAAAGCGCAGTTAACCTACTTTTCACTAACGATCTTCTGTAGATGCATTGCAGAATTTGGAGGGAAATATATAGTAAAAGGTTCAAATTTTATTAGAATTAAAAAGGATAAAACCGACTGAGGGCCATGGTCTCCAAGATCCTGATGGATACAGTGCATACAATATAAAAGAGGGCCAGGAGTTTGCTTTATTTGACGATATATATATATATATATATATATATATATATATATATATATATATATATATATATATATATATATATATATATATATATAAAACAAAAAAGAAACAATAAATGTGTTTATGTTTTTTTTATTGTGTTTTTGCGATGTTCTGATAAGTTGTTAAGTATTGTGAATAAACTGTACGAAATTCCTTTTTTTCGACATTTAAGTTTAAGTATTTTGATTATCGCAGTCATTATCAACAATCAATGTGACATTTCTGTGGTAGTTAGAACACTCTTGTAGAAATCCTGTTATTCTTTGGGAAGCTTTTTTCTTTTATGTGCCATGTCCCTTCAGGACGTAGGCGATCAAGGCCCACCACCTCCTCCTATCTCTTGTAACTCTTAATAAATCTCCCAAACCCTATTCCGCCAACCAGTTGCTCCAGCCCACCAAGCACTGCTTTCCTCTGTAGCTGTTGCCCTCAATCTGTTCTGTATCAGATTTTCTAAGCCCCACTTCCTTGTTACTTGCCCCCCCAAAAAAATTTCGACTGCCTCTTCCTGAAATCAAGTAAACACTTCTTTGTTTCCATTCTCTTCAAAAGCACGTCGTTGCTCGGCACATGTCATTCTCAGCATCTTTCTGTAGATCCACATGTCTGTTACTTCAGTTCTTTTCCTCATCTTCGGGGATATGGCTCGCATTCGCTGCTATACAGGAGGACATATATCACGTAATATTAATAAAAAGAACCGACAAGGTTTGTCTGCTCAATTTTCGATTGTATATTTTCAATATCCTAATAAGTTGTTGAGTATTGTGCTCAAAGTTGTGGATACATTTTCAAAAGTTCATGTGTTTGTTTCTATTTCTTTCAAGTACTTTCGACTTACACAGCCGAAAGTACTTTAACAAAAATTACAAAATATATAATTTGGACAGTTTATACACAACCTCTAGTGCAATACTCAACACTCAATCTTAAAATTGGAAAAATGCAATAAGAAATTAAACAGACATTGTCAGTTCGTTTCAATCAAACTTCCCAGGGTGTAAACTTCCTGCTTCGATATATCCTATTCATATATATATATATATATATATATATATATACAGAGAGAGAGAGAGAGAAGGAGATAAATGAAATATATCCTACTCCATATATATATATATATATATATATATATATATATATATATATATATATATATATATATATATATACCTAATTCACGAATTTAATTCAAAGATCGGACCTGAATTCACGAATTTAATTCGTTCAACACATGAATGATGCAACACGGGGTCGTCACAATTACCTGTTTGTAATAAATTTGGAAAATGTTGTTCGAGTTTCATAACACATGAATGCATCTCGAATTTTCTGTTCAAAACCGATTTGTTCGACATGGAGATAATTTCGAGAACCTAAGGAAATATAAATATACATATATATATATATATATATATATATATATATATATATATATGAAGGAATGTATGTGCGTGTTTGTGAACGTAAGAAAAAGAAAGAAAGAATGTAGGCAATATCTTCATATCTCGTATCTCGTATCTCGTACCTCTCGCCTGTGGAACTCCCTTCCCTATTACTGTTTCCCTGAGAGCTATAATCTCCAACTATTCAAATGTAATGTTAATCGACATCTCCAGTTGCCTTGATCTATCCACTATCCTTCTCCTCATCATTTCCTCTATCACTCCTATCTGATCTTGCTCCAAATCTTCTGTAACTCCTTGCGTCCTTGTGGCTTCTCGCCTTGCTTGGGGCGAAAAAAAAAGAGAGAGTAAGAAGGTAGGATGGAAGAATGTAAGGAAGGAAGGAAAACAAAGAAAGAAAGAAAGAAAGAAAGAAAGAAAGAAAGAAAGAAAAAAAGAAATTACCAAACAATCAAAAAAAAAATGAAAAAAACAAAGAAACAAAACAGAAAGAATGAATGAACGAATGATCAGAAGCGTTAAGCAAATGTTATATAAAATCCGATGTTTTGTAAAACACGCCCTACGATTAAATTTCTTCAAGCATTGTTTTATTTTAGCACTTATTTTGGTAGCCTATGCATATCCAATAACCCTTGTGGTACTTTCCGTTCTCTTTTTTTATTCTCATCTGTTCTTTTATGAAATCTATTTTATGCTTCGTTCATTGTATTTGTCTTTTTTTGTTTTCTTTTTAATTTCATTTGTTTATTTGTTTTCTGTTTGTAGTATTTCTTCCTCAAATGTTTTCCCCTACGAAAACAAATGTTCTTCTTCTTTACATTCATTCTATTACATTTTCTCCTTTGCATTTCTTCGAGGATTCCTGTAGATTCCTATTCTTTTCTCTCCGTCCATTCTTCGGGCGGACATAAATATGTTAATTTCAGATTTGTTTCTCTAGGTTTTCTCACGATCTCCAGTATTCCTCCTCAGTGGTTGAAATTTCAAGACTAAATATACATAAAAAATAAAAATAAATGGAGACATTTCTAAATATTCGTAAACGTTGGGAAAAGTGTAGCAATTTTTACCTTTAAGCATAAAAGTTGTTCACAATTTGCAAACGATCTGCTGCTTGCAAAAAAATATTCATGCCAACTGATTTGAATAAATTCTTCAATGGAAGTGAAGAATACTTTTCTAAAACTTAGCTCCTGTCATCAAATCGTCACAGTAATCTTTATTTAGATTCCACTTGTAGAGTCATGTTCTTCCAATTGCTATTCGTAAATCAAAGACAATACCTAAAATTCTCGTAATAATATTAGCTCTTTCTTAAATAAAATAATGCTTAAAGGTCAACGAACATTCAGTTTATGACTTGTATATTCTCGTTGCTTTATTTAATAAGCAAATTATGGGTTATTTGAGAAGTCGTTTAATGAAATATATTTTCAATGGGATATTGCATTTGTAATGTTTTTCCTGAAATCTAGTTTTGTACATTTTAATGCACCATATCGTAATTAAAATATGTATTATTTCTTCTTTAAAATGAATGCTAATCTTAATCGACGTATGAGTAATGGTCAATGATGTTACCCTGATTTATCAGAGAATTCGATCTACCCTGGGTACTAAATTTAAGATTTAGCATTAAATAAATCACTAAGAATGTACGTATCATAAAGCCATAAAATGTTTCACTTTTGAAAACAAATCCCTGATAATTAAGTAAAATAAATTATCACAATCATTTTTTATTCAGACGTAAATATGATTAATCTTCTTTTTCTGACTATTTTTTTTCTAAATGCCGTGTCTCTTCAGGACGTTGGTGATTATGGCTCTCCACAATTTCCTGTCTTTTGTAGTTCTTAATATAGTTTGTTTATTTTGTTACCTCTCTTAAACCCTTTTGCGGTCATCCATTTAAAAAAGATTTCTAGGTGAGTGAAACGGGGTTTTCATCTGTTCTTCTTGCCTTCAGTCAGACATCTTTCCTGATAATGTGCCCTCGAGAATTCAGCTGACACTTCTTGATTTTAATATGTGTCCTTGTTGTCCTTATCTCTAGAACTTTGTTGTTGCTCATAGGTTCAGTTCATAGTATTCTCAGCACCGATATGTATATTATAATAAAAGAAGTGGGATTAAGAAGATAAAATATAACATAAGGAAGATTCTTAAAAAAATTCATGAGTAATTATTATTATTATTATTATTATTATTATTATTATTATTATTAATCATTGATTTTTGCGACACACACGCACAAAACACGCACAAAGTTATGTTACAATAAATCATACAAAAAATAAATTAGTAAAGTTAATAGTATAAAATAAATGACAAAATCCCTTCGCTAACAAAATTTTAAAGATGCATTAACCTACCAAATACTGATGAATATTATGATCCTTGTTTTCTTTTTAAAATGTAAGCTGTATTAAATCTTTCTTAATACGCAAGTACTTTCGACTGTAAATTCAGTCATCTTCAGGCATGGAAATTATTATTATTATTATTATTATATATATATATATATGTGTGTGTGTGTGTGTGTGTGTGTGTGTGTGTGTGTAGAAAAATAAAAAAGAACACGTTAGGTAAATAATCTGGAGTTCTTTATTTTTTGTTTTTATTTTTAAAAAACAGTGCTCTATACAGAAGTAGAGCTTAAATTATAATTATTTTTTAAAAAAATATGATTCTTTCGCTACATAAGAGTTCTTATGTTTCAAAAACGAGAGCCGAAACGCTCAATATAATTATTAAAATTAAATTGAATTAAAGTATCAAGCCCTGTTTCATCCTCAATCGAAAATTTAATCTATAGATAGATAGATAGATAGATAGATAGATAGATAGATAAATAGAAGTTATCGTTATAGATACAATTTATTTAAGTAAGTGCTCTGTTTTAATCCTTTTTTATTATATATATATATATATATATATATACATACATATATATATATATATATATATATATATATATATATATATATATATATATATATACATATACACATACAAAGAGGAAGTAAAAGGAACCTCCGTATATACGTAATTAATCCAATTTTGAAGAACTGAATAAATACAAATTGAATAAAGCTTTAAATTTATATATTCATCATTATATAAATATACGAATGGATATTGTGATTTCTGCAACACTTTTAGTCACATCGACATAAATTCTGGGCACCCAGAAAGAATCTAATTCACTCTACGAAATAATTTGAGTCAAATAAATTAATAAAAATCTGATATCATTCATTGGTAGAATGATGCTTTTCGTTTTATATAAAATATTATACTGATATATATATATATATATATATATATATATATAGATAGATAGATAGATAGATAGATAGATAGATAGATAGATTGAGATAGATAGATAGATGTAAAAATACTTAGATAATAGATAGATGCAAAGAAAGTTGATAGATAGATAGATGGATAGATAGATAGATGAGAAGATGCTTAAATAATAGGGGTAAAGAGATTATATATACATATATGTATATGCTATATATACATATATATATATATATATATATATATATATATATATATATATATATATATATATATATATATGGGGAGAGAGATAGATACTTAGATACATAGATGCGAATTATGGATAAATACATAGATTTGAAGAGACTTAGATACATACTAAGAGACATAGATAGATAGATAGATAGATAGATAGATAGATAGATAGATAGATAGATATGAAAATACTTAGATAATAGATAGATGTAAAGAGAGTAGATAGATAGATAGATAGATAGATAGATAGATAGATAGATAGATAGATGCGAAACTGAATAAATAGATGTGAAGAGACTTACATATATACGAAGAGACTAGATAGATAGATAGATAGATAGATAGATAGATAGATAGATAGATAGATATTAAAATACTTAGATAATAGATAGATGTAAAACCCAGTAGATAGATAGATAGATAGATAGATAGATAGATAGATAGATAGATGCAAAAAGACTTAGATAGATGCGGAGAGTCTTAGATACATAGATAATACTTTATAGGTTGTTACATGTTATTTTAATGACAAAATCTCAAATAACTGAAATTTATTTATCCTTGCATACATACAGACATAATTAATCGCATAACTAACTCTATAACCTAATGATGAACAAACATATATTTGAAAGAACAACATTTCTTTTCCGCTAAATCTACGTCGTTGTCAACGTCCATAATTAAATGGTGAATATTAATCACATAAAATTAAGAAAGCTCTGTGTCATGTCACAACCAATATTCAGCTAAATTGTATAAGTGCACTGGCAGTCGCAATGACGCACACACGGAGCCGTAAGTATTGCGTGGCTGAGAGACAACCAGGCGGTTATGGTGACAAAAGAACAGAACACGATGAATGAATACCTAAAGAAACAGACAAAATAAGTAAAAGCGCGGAGCATTTATTCATTTAGGCTTTCTTTTGTTCGTTGTCTTATATTCATATTTACATACACAAGAAAACAACACTCATATACATATATGTATATGCTATATATATATATATATATATATATATATAAAATATTTATGCACAAGAGGAATATAAAAAATTTAGCCGCTCTTGGAATTCTATTGTTTGCTCGCTAAAAGAACATTTTGGCAGATAATCAGAATTCTTTTTTGAAACGAAAAAACCAACATTTATATTTAGTTAAGATGTTTATTTCTATGCATCTTTCAAACTCATCCATCAATTCGATATTCAAATAATGTCAGAGTCTTACGACCGCTTAACAGCCGACTCGACTTTATTTTTTTCACTTCACTGCCTACATGCATCCCATAATGCAGCTGTTGTGTTCCTCTGCAGAATTCTTTTATGCTTTCATTTCTTTTCTTTTCTTTTTCCTGCTTGACAATTATTTGACCTAGCCTAATGACGACCTTGTCAGGGGTAAAGGTTAAGTTACGCGCTGTAATAAAAATACTTCTCAGTTCAATTCTATTTATTTTTTGTTTTGTTTTGTTTTTTTTTGTTTTTTTTGGTGATATTTTTTGATTTCTAAAAATATTGCATTTTTCTTTCGGAAAGCGAGGTTAAAATAGGTTATCACGAAAGAGAAGATAATATTTCACAGAGAAGTTTTGTGGATGCTGATACTACTTAAGTGGCTTTTACGGTTAACATAAAAACCAATCAACATCACATTGTCCAAAAACAAAATTAAAATTTGAACTTTATGCAGTTATTATTTCAGAATCAGTAGAAAAGAAAAATCATACTAGTTTTCTAATTGATTCAAAAGAAAGTTTATTATTATTATTATTATTATTATTATTATTATTATCATTATCATTATTATCATCATCATTATTATTATTATCATTCTTCTTATTATTATATTATTATTATTATTATTATTATCATTATTTTTATTATCATCATCATTATTATTATCATCATTATTATTATTATTATCAGTATCATTACCATTATTATCGTTATCATTATTATTATTATTATTATTATTATTATTATTATTACTATCAAAATCCTTATTATTATTAAAATTATTATTATTATTCATTATCATTATTTATTATTATTATTATTATTATGATTATTATTATTATTATCATTATTATTATTAATATTATCAAAATCATTATTATTATCATTATTATTATTATTATTATTAATATCATTATTATTATTATCATTATCATTATTATTTATCATTCTATTATTATTATTATTATTACTATTTTATCCTTATTATTATTAAAATATTATTATTATTATTATCATATTATTATTATTATCATTATGATTATTATTTATCATTGAACTTAAAATTATTATTATGATTATTATTATTATTATCATTTTTTTATTATTATACATTAATTATTATTATATTATCATTATTATCAGTATCATTAAAATTATTATTGTTATCATTATTATCATTATCATTATTATTATTATTATTATCAATATCCTTTTATTATTATTTTATCATCAAATATTTTAATTATTATCATTATCATTATTATTATCATTATCATTATTATTATTATCATTATCATTATTATTATCAAGTTATTATTCTGTTTTATTATTCTTTCTTTATTTTTATTATTTATTTTGAAAAAAAAATTTTTATTCAAATTAAATAAAGTCAAGAACTTTCAAATAATTTTTTTTTTTTTTTTTTCCAATTCTAAAAATAATAACATTCATAGATTATTTTCCATAAAATCTGAAATGTGGAAATTTTGTATTTTTTAAAAATGGGTTTCTGTGGAATCCCTCAATTAGTCAATTTTTTGATTTCAAAAAATTTTGAAATTCCAACTACAACAGAGATTGTTGATGTTTTTTGTTAAAATTTTTAAGATTTTTTTTCAAGGTCCTTGTATTTTGATTTTAATCCATATTCAATTTTTACTTTTTTTTTTGTTTTCTAGAATTATAAATATTGGGCGGTTAAAAAAATTATTCTGTCTGTTTTTTGTATTAATTTTAATTAATTTTTATTAATAATAATAATATATTATTATTATTATTATTATTATTAATATTAATTAAAATAATATTATTGAAATTCATTTATTTTAACCAAAGGCGAAGGATCTTACTTTTTTGTTGTTTCCACTTGATAACTATTTATAAAAAAAAAAAATAATAAATGAACAAATCTCTTCAGAGGATATGGTTTGCAGCTGTTAGAAATACTTTTTTTATAATTGGATAGATGATTCAAAAAAAAAATTTTGTTGATCTCCTTTCCTTATCATACCCAAAGCTCCGTCCACAATAGGAATAGTTTTGTTTTATAAATGGCACATATTTTTTTCGGTTTCTATCTTCGGGTTTTTGTATTTGTTTACTTTTTCAAAAATATCCGCCGACCGTTTTGTCACTTTCATTCCATAAAATATGTCAATTTCAGCGTTCAATATTCAGCAGATTTATATTAATTTTTTGGTTGAAAATATATTGTTCGATTCATATTGGTGCAAAAATCCCTGGGGATATCAACATCTATAATCTCAAATACAGATTATATATATAATTATGTTTTTTTAAGATTGCAGCTATTTTTATTGATGATGGTTTTATAAAAGATATTCAAAATGCATATGTTGTCCTACAATTATCATCATTATTATTATTATTATTATTATTGCTTTGATTTCTGTTGTATGTTAATTTCTTCCGTTGTCTAAATCAGAGACTTAAGGTTATAAAAGGCATCAGGATATTTTCCAATTGCCATTTTTGTAAAAAAACAAACAAACGCTAAAATTTGCACATATCTCAGATGGATGAAGCCCTTCGTATACTGTAAGTCGGACTTGTGAGTACAATTGTTTGTATTTCTTTAAAGCTTGGACTACCAGGAACCATCTCCACATGAGTCTATCAGACTGATCCTTATCTTTCCCAATTAAAAAAAATCACCCGTAAAAAACAGCTACATTTGAATGATTGATATCCTCATGTACCACATTTTTTACATTTCCAATTCAAAGTCATTCTATTCTTATATATTTTTGAAGACCTAGCAAGATATATAACAGTCTGAAAAGAATAGCATATCAATAAGAAGGCTCATTCTCTTTTTTTTTTTTTTATCAGATATATATTATTTCTATTAGATTATTTTTTATTCAAAATGTGTTCATTGTCAGTCCCATAAAATTGTTACTGTTTCTATGTCTGTAACCAGGTCTGAGTTTTATTCATTCCAGGTTCTTGCAGTTTCATTTCCGTTAATGTCTCAGGTTTTTGCACTGTAGATATTGGCCCACTCTTTCATGTTGAGTTGAATGTTCACTGGGTTAAAAATAGGTTGAAAACGATAAATGATTTTTAAAAGCGGACATCTTACTATAAAAATAACGTTCTATCTTGATTATTGTTCAGGTTCGTTTTTAAAAATTATTTGGCAAAAATATTTGCATTTGATATAAAGGAAAAAAAAGAAAATAAAAAATAAATGAAATGAAAAAAAAAATAATATAAAAAACGAATCACCTTGTCTCTGATTCGGAATTTAATTTTTAAAATTTAGATATGTGGTACTTTTAGGCAATTTTTATATCTTCTAAAAAAGATCACCACGGATCAGATTTTCCATTCCATCAGCGTCCCTTAATTTGCTTCTGCCAACATTCTTCAAATCGTATAAGATAGGTATCCTAAATGAGATACTGTAAGAATTCCACGTACATCATACACATTGTTGGTTAAATTCCTGGAACGTTTCTTAATGAAAATGACACATTAAGAATGTCATAGAATTTCAAGCGTGATAAAGATATTAAAATCAGAGAAACAATAAACACAACATTTACTTCCATATTTGTATGTATAAAAATAACGTATAAACAATAAATATATTAAAATAATTGTCGGATTTAGTTAATTTCATAATTTTTGAATAAACAGACCCCATATATATTATATTTAATGTTCCAAAAGTGATGCTTAAAAAAATTAAAAAAAATTTGATCAATGCAAATAACGGATTTTTTTTCTAGAAAAATTCAACATGCTGACAGCGTTAAAAATAAAATCATTGGATACAATAAAAGATTTTATTAATTTCTGACAGCAGAATGCATTCTGAAGATACCATGGACTTTGTAGAAATGATTCTGTTTTTTAAATAATTGTAAAAAAAGAGGTATTAATAATTATGTATTAAGAAAAACACTTTTAAAATAAAATATTCAGAAAAAAATTGCATAGATACATAAAGAGGACAACGATGTCTCTCTCCAAGCGGCGACAGTCTGTACTTTCAACCGTAAATTGAAGGAGTATAAATGAAATATTATGAAATAAAATGTCTCCGATTGTCCTTGAAGATTGATGTCTTTTATGTAAATGATCCTGGAAAATTGAGACCTGACTCTGATATTGATTGATTATCTAAAATATTTTGATAGTTTCCACATTAAAAATATATATATATATATATATATATATATATATATATATATATATATATTAAATATATAGTTAAGCACAGATGGGAATCTTGGTAAACTGTATGGAAAATCCCAAGGGTTATGGTTTGCCATATCCAACAATGTCTAATATCAGAACTTAATTGATGAAAAAACAGAAAAATGTCAGGAGCCATTTTTTTTATTTATTTCCACATGGACTGAACAACAGTAGCTATGGTTATCAAAATAAATAAGAAAATATTCAATCACATTTAAATTTACATTTTGATTTTTTTTGCCACTTTTGACGACAATGAGTTGAAAGGCCTCCTCAATATTGAAAATAATAATAACGACATAATAATAATTTAATATTAATAAAATAATAAAAAGTAACAATCAATAAAGGTAGAATTACAGAAACACCCTTAATAGATTTAGATTTTGTCACAAAGATTAGGGAACTGGAGCATGGTGAAGCTTATAAGTACCTAGGAATTAGCGAAGGAGATGGCATACAACAACCCCCCCAATGAAGGAAAAATAAGAAAAGAATACTACAGGCGTGTACGTCTGGTACTAAATACTGAGCTAAACTCAAAAAAAGTAATATCAGCCATAAACACATTGGCTGTCCCTGTGGTGCAATACAGCTTTAATGTCCTTAACTGGACCATAGCTGAAATTAAGCGAATGGATACCAAAACGAGAAAAGCTTCTCACTTGCTATCGCATGCATCATCCCAAAGCTGATGTCGATCGTCTGTATGTGCCCAGATCCGAAGGAGGCAGAGGATTAGTTCAACTAGAACTGTCCTACAAAACTACAACAATTGGCCTCCAAAGATATTTGGAAACTACAGAAGACTGGATGATGGTATGCGTCAAGGAACATGAAAGTAGTAAGCGTCTTTACTCCGTAATGAAAGAAGCCAACAAATTCAAAATGGAGTTTCAAATGGGCGTAGAGATGCAACTACAGCACAATACACCGGCTGAAACTGCAAAATACCTAAAAAAAGACAGCAAAGACGAATGCAACCGACCAGATACCAGAAGCGATGGCAAGATAAACCGCTTCATGGCCAATACTCTGCCCGTATCAAACAAGCTGACGTAGACAAAACCCGTACCCATCAGTGGCTAAGTAGTGCAGGGTTGAAAGCGGAAACTGAAGGTTTTATCCTTGCTGCGCAGGACCAATGCTTGCTAACTAGGAATTATCAAGTACATATACTAAAATTTTGTGTCAGCCCAAAATGCAGATTCTGTGATAAATATCCAGAAGCGATTGATCATCTTGTATCAGGTTGTACGGTGTTGGCACCCACTTGATATAAAACCCGACATGACAGAGTGGGCCAATATCTGCACTGGAAAATCTGCAACTTCTACGGGAAGGAAACTGAAAGAAAATGGTATGAACACCACCCAGACCCGGTTACAGAGATAGGACCTGTTAAAATTCTATGGGACTACACAATACACACTGACAGAACAATCAAAGCCAACCGCCCAGATATTGTTATTAAAGATCAAAAAAAAAACGGTGCCTCCTTATTGATATGGCAGTCCCTGCTGACTGCAATGTATATTTAAAGATATTCAAAAAGTTGTCAAAGTACAAGGACCTTGAAATAGAAATCGCGAAAATGTGGCATATGGGAACATCAACAATCCCTGTTGTAGTTGGATCCCTAGGACTGGTTCGAAAAGATTCCAGTAGGCTAATTGAAGGGAATCCTGGAAGTCCATGCCTCAAGGAGATACAGAAAATTGTTCTGACAAGTACAGCCCACACCTTATGAAGGGCTTTATCTATGTAATCATTTTTTTTGTCAGTGGAAAGTGTCATGACGCCATTTCTAACCTTAGGTCCCTGGGCGGGACACGGAAAGAAATGTGTAAACGACAGAAATCAAAGATAATACACAACAACACAATAATAATACTATATATATATATATATATATATATATATATATATATATTATATATATATATATATATATATATAATATAATTATAAACCGCAAAGGTTTTTGGTTGAATTGTGCATTTTTTCTTATTTTAAAATATATATTATACTCTCTATTTCCATAATTCTGCTTCAAGTATTTCTGGCTTGGCGACATTTTTCAAGCAAAGAGTAGATATTTCCACTTATATAAATGAATCTTTTGCGTGGTAGTAATTCAAATGAAGGTCGATTAACCAGATATACGTGTAGCAGAATTATGGAAAACAGAGTATAATATATATTTTAACATTAAAAAAGAACTATTTTCAATAATTTAAAAATATACACTTTTCTCTCGTTCCCTAATATATATATATATATATATATATATATATATATATATATATATATAATATTATTATTTATTTATATATTAATATTATTATTTATTATATATATATATATATATATATATATATATATATATATATATATATATATATATATATGGTAAATGTAAGGTTAACAAAGAAATAAGAAATATTCAAAAGGAATATCAATGTTAGTTTTTCGAATCAACTGTGAAAGACTTTAATTTGACTTCCACAGTTTCCTAATATTTATACAATTTCGGAAAGAGTTACCTCCCTTGATGACATTCGCCATCCACGAAACATATTCTTCTGAAACTATTTTTATGGAAACCTTGTTAATGGATTACGTATCAAGTTTATATTCCTGCCATCCCCGGCGTCTTCCTTACTTACAAAAATTTGCTTTCGCAAGCTTTTTCGAGAAGACACTACTTTATTTGTCTCGAGGCCAGGAACTAATCACAAATTTCTTCTTTTTTTTTTTTTTTGTTGTTGACTTCACTTCTCCCACCCCAATCACCAGTTCCTCTATATAAAATCTACATCTCATTACTTCCATTGTCTAAGGCTCACATCGAGAGAAGCCATCTTTGACTTTTCTTAAAGGATAGATACCATCTTGCCGGATATCCGCTCGCAAAGCTTATGTACGCCTGCTCTCGCTTTTGTGATGAGACGCTTGCCTCTTATTTTATCGAAAATCTTCTCAACCATTTCTTCAGAAGATGCTTCACGTTCGTCAAGTGAATAGAGAAACAGCAGCACTAGCAAAAATCGATGTAGTAGGGATAAAACAGGTACAAAATGAGCAACAACAGAAGAAGAAGAAGGTAGAGGAGGAGGAGAAGAAGAAAGATTTAGTTTGTCGGAGAAGAAAATTTAATTAATACAGTAATGAATTAGGAAAAAAATAACGAAAGGGAGAAAGAGTGTGACATAAAGTAGAGATTAGCATGAGAACAAGAAGAAGAAGGATGCGAATAAGAAGAAGAAGAAGAATTATACGAATAATAAGGAGAAGAAGAAGGAATCTCAGAAAAAGAGGAAGAAAAAGAGAAAAAAGAAGATTGAGGAGACAAAGAAAAAAAGGAGAAAGAAGAAGACAAAGCAGAAGAAGATACGAGGAGAAAGTAGAAGAAAAAGGAAAAAGGATACGAATAAAAAGGGGCAGATAAAGATGACTAAGAAAATGAGGAAGAATAAAAAAGAAAAAAATGACGCAGGCGATAAAGAAAAAAGAAAATAATAGAGAAAACAAAGCAGAAGAAGAAGAAGAAAAAGGAGATAGAAGAAGGAGGAGGAGGAGAAGAAGAAGAAAGATTTAGTCTATCGAAGAAGAACAGTTAATGAATACAGTAATGAATTAGGAAGAAAACTAAAACGAAAGGAAGAAAAGAGTGTAACATAAAGTAGAGGTTATTATTATTATTATTATTATTAGAAGAAGAAGAAGAAGAAGAAGAAGAAGAAGAAGAAGTCTAATAAAAAGAGGTGGAATTAAGAAGAAGAAATAGGAGACGAAGAGAAAAGAGCAAAAGGAAGAATGATATGAATGAAAAGAAGAAGAAGACTAAAAAAAAAGGAAGAATAATTAAGAAAAAAGACGAAGAAGAAGGGGACAAAGGAGAAGAAAGAAGACAAAGCAAAAGAAGGAGGCAAATAGAAAGGCGAAGAAATAAGAAGAAGAAGAAGAAGAAAAAGAAAAAGAAGACGAAGAAGAGAAAAAAGAATAAACAAGAAAAAGAAGAAAGAAAGAGTTGGCGAGTTGAAGAAAAGTTACTAAACACAGCAATAACGTAAGGATATAAATAAAGCGAAGTGTAGAAAGAGTGTGATGAAAAGTATATTAGCATTAGAAGAAATGTAAACAAAGTTGATGACGTAGACGAAGTAGTAGTAGTAGTAGTAGTAATAGTAGTAGTAGTAGTAGTAGTAGAAGAAGACGAAAAGTAGCAACAGGACATGCAAGAAACTGTATGATCGAAAAAGAAAGTTGGGTTTAAAAAGGAAATATGATTAGGAGCAAGAAAAGAAAAGAAAAAAAAACGATGTTTTATTCCTTTACATTCCGTGTCCGTACAGGATGTTGGAGATCATGGCTTCCCACAATTTTCATTCCTTTGTAGCTCTTAATAAAGTATGTCATTTTGATTTTTTTCCCAAACCTTGCTGCTCTATCCATTTACTCAAGATCGCTAGCTGGGTAATACGTTATTTTCCTCTGATTCTCTTGTCCTGTGAGTATCAAATTTTCAAAGACGACTTTCATAATTATTACATTTGAATAACGTATTTCTGATGTTCAGTATCTGTTATTTTTCCCGGTTTCTTTAAAACTTCGTCGATTCTAACATGTTCAGTCCATCGTATCCTCAGCATCTTTCTGTAGAACATCATTTCTGTTAGATAAAATCTGTTCTTCATCCATGCAGAGATTGAACAACATTCAGTGCCGTATAGGAGGACTGATATTACGAGGGTGGACTGAAAAATCCATAGGCTGACTATGAAGAGATTTTAGAGCTACGAAATCTTGCATACATTAATTTCAGATGTTATTAATAAATTCATTGTTTCCTTTCAGGAAAACTAACATTTGTTTGAAAAAGTATGTTCATCCTGTTGATAAAAAACCGTCATTAATAGCGTTATGATAACTGAGATACTGGTTCCTAGCCAAGTGATTTTTTTTCATGTTGGGGAACAGATGATAGTAAAATCAAGAAAAAAGGGAGTTTAACACACAGTCACGAACAGAACAGCAACCATTTAAATCGAGGTATACTGGAGCATAATCCTGATGAAAGAAGAAACATTATTTTACATTTTCTTGGGGTTTGGTCTTCGTAGCCTTTTGTAACTGCCGCAGAAGTTTCCTACTGCACTCTCCATTGATGGTGTGGCCCTTTTGAAGTTATTCCATAAAGACAATGCCTTTGACATATCAAAAAACTGAGGTCATCAATTTCCCAGCAGCTGAAATGATCTTAGTCTTCTGTGAACCAGTTGAAGAGGGGTATTTCTACTGTATGGAGTGTCTTTTAGTCTCAAGCTAAAAGTGGAGAACACAACACTCATCCTGGGTAAGGAGAACTTCAAGGAAACCAATTGGATCTGCCTCAAGCAATTTCAGATTGATATGATCAGTCTTGTGCGCTTTTGATCATGTGTCAGAGGACGTGGCACCTCTTCATCGTAAAAGAGTTCTCCGATGCATTCCTTACACTTCTGAAGTATTTTTCTTTCTCTAATATCAGCGTCTCTTCCTTGGGTTTTATGCAATCTTTTGAAGAGCATGTCTTTTGCCCTGTTAGTTCTGTTATGTTAATGCATGTCTGCTATATCTGTGATATTCATTCTTTCTATATCTGCACATTTTTCGTTGAGCCATTCCTCTTAGCCTGCCTCCATTACAAACTCAGAAAAGAAAAAAATAAAGGATGCTTTATAAAAGGAAACATAATGTAGAAGAAGCATAAAACGAAGAACGAGAAGAAGTAGAAGAAGAAGGTGTGGAATGTCAGAATACGAAGAAGAGACAAAGTCTGCTAGAAGACTCTTTACAAAAGAGGAAGAAAAGGAATATCTACAAATCTCTTAAAATGAGCAACAAGAGAATGTGCAAAAAAAGAAGTATATTTAGCAACAGTGGTAGACGGTAAAATAAGATTAAAAATAAAATTACATTAAACGAAGACGAAAATAAACGCAATAAAATAGAAACATTAAAAAGAATAAAAGGGGAAAGATTTAAAAAAAAATGTTGATTCAGACAGAGGATAAGAGTTAACGCAAACGAAATCAATGATGAAAATAATTAAAAAAAAGAATAGCTAAAATATAAAGGCGACGACAAAAAAAGGACTTATTTGTTTATCCTAACTTTCCAGAAGCTTCTTCGTTGTAATAAGCAATATGTTAAGAAAGGGGTATAAATGCCCTTCATGTATTTCTCTCTCATCCACACGATGAGGTAGCAACAATAAAGGACTTGCCCTTCCGAGAAAACACAAACCCGGCGAACTGATATAATTTCAAGCAAACCAAAATCATTTACACATAGAAGCGCACACATCATTTTCTCTCACACTCTTTTTATATCTTCCTATCACGCACACATACACACACATGCACACATGCATAACAGGAAATATTATTTGTATATATCTTTCTTCTTTAATGAAATATGTTTATTATATATATATATATATATATATATATATATATATATATAAAAGTGAACATTGAAGTCAGCTCAGAGTCGACAGGTTGTTTCATGCTGGACGCAATCGTCAAGCTGACGATTGCTTTTAGTATGAAACAGTCTGTCGCCTCTGAGTGTTGACTTCAATGTTCACTTTTATGTTTATATTTACATAGGCTCTACCTCTGATATTGAGCACTTTATCCCCTAAATAAAGCAAACCTTAAAACTATATTTCTTCATAATAATTAATATCTCTGTGTTACAGAAAAAAAAATTGAATAACGTTCAACGAATCCATATTTGTACTATAGAAGGAAGCGAAGACAGTTGCGTGATGAGATATTTTACCAAAAATACATGGACGTGATGCATTCAGTGAAATGTTGAAATATTCAAAAAGGTATAATCGTTTCTAGAAAGTCCGTGTTTATCTTCAGAATTCATTCTGCTGTCCGCACTGTTAATTGCTGCATCTTTGATTGTATCCAGTAATTCTAAACCTAACCCTGTCAGCATGTTGAAAGACTTCTAGATATTTGATTCGTTTCAGCAATTTCCGGCTAATGTTTGCAGCATCAGTACGAATGCCAACTGAATCGCCAATTGAATCCCTTGGAAAAGGCTTGTTTCTCATTAGAATTATTTCTCAGGACGAAGTACTACGTTTCCACTGTCAAACAATACACAATTGATCCCACTTCTGTGTAGGATTAACTTTATCAGAAATTGCCTATTCATTCTTGCGCAGTAATATTCTTGCCGTTTATATGAATGCTGTACAACCGACTCTAAATATATGCAAAATCACTTGAGAGTTTCTAGCCACATTTCGGAGTTGATTTTTAAAAAGTTAATCTCTAGTCACGTCACATTCATAATAGTATTTTTTTTATAAGATTCTGCGTGTTCGACGATAATTAAAACGTTCCCTAATTCTAATTTTGTCTCAGTCTCTATCTATGTCACACTGCCCCATATCAATATTATTATTGTTATTGTTATTTATTTACTTTGATTTCTGGTGTGTATACATTTCTTTCCGGATCCCGGTCGGAGACCTATGTTCAGAAATGACACCATGACATTTTTCCTAAGAACACATATTTTACATAGATAAAGCCCATCGTAAGGTGTGAACTGTAATCGTGATAACAATTTTTTTTAAGGCATGGGCTTCCAGGAATCCCTTCAATGAGTCTACTGGAATCTTTTCTAAGCAATCTTAGGGCTCCACTACAAAAGGGATTGTTGATGGTCCCCTTTGCCACAATTTTTAGATTCGATTTCAAGGTCCTTGTATTTTGATAGCTTTTTGAAGATCTTCAAAGATATATTGCAGTCTGAAGGACCTGCCATACCAATAAGCAAGCAATTTTTGTCTCTCTAATATCAATGCCTGGGCGGTTAGATTTGATTGTTCTGTCTGTGTGTATTGTGTAGTCCCATAAAATTGTAACAGTTCCTATCTCCGTTATTATTATTATTATTATTATTATTATTTTATTTCCTTTAATTTCTGGTGTGTACACATTTCGCACCGGGTCCCGCCCAGAGACCTAAGGTTAGAAAAGGTATCATAGCATTTTCCACTGACTACACAATACACGCTGTCTTGTGCATTGTATAGTCCCATAAAACTGTAACAGACCCTATCTCCGTTATTATTATTATTATTATTATTATTATTGTTATTATTATTATTATTATTAATAATAATAATAATAATAATAATAATAATATTAATAATAATAATGTTTCTGTTGTGGTTACTGTTGTTTCATTTGCTTTGACTTCTTTTGCCTACTCATCCCCCCACCGAGTTTCTGCCAGATACCTAAGCTCCGAAATGGCATCATGTCATTTTCCCTTCATATTTATTAAAAAAAAAAAGAAGCGAAATACTACAAATCCGCATTTTACATAGAGAAATCCTTTCGTAAAAATTGTGAGTATTTTGTTTTGTATTTCTATAAAACATATTCTACAAGGAAACCCTTTTGAAATCAAAACCCAGAGCCTCAACTCCAATTTTATTCCTTCCTGGCACCTTTTTAAAATTTCCTCATCAAGTTCCTTGTATTTTGATGGATTTTGAAGATCTTCAAAGCAACATTACAATCTCTTGGAACTGTCATGGCAATAAAAAACGCACATTTTTTTCTTCTAGTCTTTGAACACTATGTCTGCGCTGTTAGCTTTGATTGATGTCTGTGTGTAATTTGAAAATCCCATAAAATTGTTGCATGCCGCATATTCCTAATGTGATTTGGGTGGCACTGATACCAATTTTTACCGTTCCCTTCCCATAAAGTAGCAGATATTCTCGTAGCCTATCCTGTCATATTGAGTTTTTGAATCGATGGTAGCCGCATAAAATATTGCCAATAGTTTCTGGATATTCATCACAGAATCTGCAGTCGGTGTCAAAACTATTTTATTATGTTTGCTTGTGAGTTCCTTGTTAGCAAGTACTGCTCCTGTACAGTATGAATATAAAGTTCAGTTTCAGTTTTTATTCCTGTACGACGCTACCAATTATTATTATTATTATTATTATTATTATTATTATTATTATTACAACAACTACATTTCGATTTCTGCTATGGTCACACTACCTAACAAGTTTTGGGGAAGACCTAAGACAGATTGTGGTGTGTTGTTATGTCTACATTTTATGATTTGTTTATCGAACTCCCATAACATCAGTAGCGTTACACGAGAAAAGTTCTTCTTAGAGTGTGGGTTATACTTATCATG